GGTTTTTAGGTTGAGGGCTTATTTTCCCCATGGACATCAAATTACTCCAGTCTTGTTGAAAAGACTGTCTTTTCCCCCCAATTAAATTGAAATACTTTTGACTCTTTGTCAAAAATCAATTGAGCATATTTCTGTGAGTTTATGTCTGGGTTTTCTATCCTTGCATTTCATTACCTTGCATTTTTTTTTAATACAAATAGCCCAATACTACACTCTCTTGATGGCTGTAACTATATAGTGAGCCTTAATATAGGAAACAGAGGTTTTTGCCTATAATTTTTTTATCAGTATTGTTTGAGTTATTTGATGCTCAAATTTATATAGGAAAGTTTACCTTTTATATAAGCTTAGATAAGCTTATTTATGTTGACCAAAAAAAACCTTATCAAGATCTTGATAACAATTCTTACAACTTCATAGTAAGAAGGCAACTTAATTAATAATTGGGCAAAAAAAAAAATAATGAAGAAGACATTTCTCCATAAAAATATATAAATGGTTAAAAATATAACAAAATGATGGCACGTGGGTGCTTTGGTGATGGGAAGCCTACAGAAATTACAAATGATATGGAAAAAGACACAAAATGATGTAAAAATAAACTATTATATTAAAAAAATATCTATAACAAGATGTTTAACATCATTAGTCACTAGAAAGTACAAACCAGAACCATTATGACACAACTTCCCACTCACTAGGATGGTTATAATCAAAACGCCAAACCAAACCACATAATTATAAGTATTGATGAATGAGGATGTGGAGAAATGAGAGTAAGTTGTAAAACTTAGTTATAATGTGACCCAGAAATGCCACTCCTAGTTAAATATCTAAGAAAAATGATATATATATATATCTCCATACAAAACTTGTACATGACAGTTGGTAGCAGCACTTTTCATAAGAGCCAAAAAGTGGAAGTAACTGGAAAGTCAACAGAAAAATTTTAAATATATTAAAAATATATTAAGCAGTAAATCCATGCAAGGCATATTATTAAGTCATAAAAATGAAGGAAGCACTACTGTCTGCTATAGCAATGCACCTAAAGACACATACTGAGTCAGAAGCCAGTCCCAGAAGGCCACAAATCACATGATTTCCATTTACACAAAATGCCCAGAGAAAGCAAATACATAAAAACAAAAGGTGGCTAAGTGAAGGAGAAGAGAGGGTTGGATGGAGGAAGAAACCAGAACTTACTATAAAGGGGTTTGAAGTTTCTTTGTAGAGTGAGGCAAATGTTCTATGATTAGATGTGATGATAGCTGTACAATTCTAAAAAGATACCAAAATTCATTGAACTATGACTTTAAAAGGTGGATTTTATGTTTTCCACATTCTCTCAATTGAATACATTAATAAATAAATTCACTTATTTATTTTTTAAAGATTTATTTATTTATGTGTATAAGAGCTGGGGTGTAGACTAGGGACACAGCGGGTGAGAGGCTTCACCAGAGACAGAGTGGGGAGCAGACAGGCAGATCTACTGAAATACACTGCTGAGGGGAGTAACAAGCCAGTCAGGAGAGGTCTGTTGCACTATGTGGGTCAGCTCCCTGGCCAGGGATTGAACTTGTTCTGCAGTGGCTGTGGACAGCTTCATAGTGCTGCATCTTAACCCCGTGAGTCATTAGGGAGGCCTCCAAAATAAATTCATTTAAAATAATATATGTATAAATGCTTTAAATTTAATAATTTACTTGATCAAATTAATCTTTTATGTTGACAGAATCACATGTTTGAAGAACTGCAAAGAGTCGTTTCCTTGTTCCATGATTCAATAAGTAACATTTGCAGTAATTTTGTGTAAGATGACCAAGAGGCATATGAAAAAATGTTTATCAGAGAAATGCAAATTAAACCACAATGAGATACCACCTCATACATTAATGGTCCATATGAAAAAGACCAAAACAACAAGTGTGGGTGGTGAAGGTATGGAGAAAAGGGATCCCCCTCTTACACTGTTGGTGGGAATGTAAGCTAGTCTAGCCCCTAGAGAAAGCAGTTATGATGGTATTTCAAAAGATTAAAAATGAGCTCTCCCTGGTGGTGCAACAGGTTAAAGCACCACATTATGAAGCTCTCCAAAGCCACTGCACACAGTCTGACCCCCACCAGGGAGCTGACCCACATGGCATGGCAGACCTCTTCTTACCCTCCCTCTGCTCCCCTCAGCAGTGTTTTGTCAGTCTGCCTGTTCTGCTCCTCACGCTGTCTTTGGCAAATCCTCTCACCTACCATACCACTGGCCTGTACCCCAGTTCTGGAATCATAAGTAAATAAATCTTTTTTTTTAAAGATTTATTTATTTGTGCATACAGAACTGGGGTACAGGCCAGAGGCTCAGGGGTGGCGAAAGACTTCACCAGAGACAGAGTGGGGAGCAGAACAGGCAGATCGACGAAGTACACTGCTGAGGGGAGCAGCGGGTGGGTCAGGAGAGGTCTGCCACACCATGTGGTCACCTCCAGGGCAGGCGGGGATCAAACTCATGTGCAAGTGGTTTCAGCTTCTTAGTGCAGTGCTTTAACCCGCTGCGCCACCACGGAGGACCCAATAAATAAATCTTAAAAAAAAAAATGGATCTGCCATACAACCCACTCCTAGATATCTACCTTAAGAATACAAATACACTAATTCAAAGGGAAACTTCCACTCTTATGTTCAATGCAGCATTGTTTACAACAGCCCAAGTATGGAAACAAACTAATGTTCCCAAATACATGAGTGGAAAAAAAAGATGTGGTGTATATATGCCATAGAGTAGTATTTAGTGATCAATAAAGAAAAACTCATGCTATTGTGGCAACATTGATGGAGCGAGAAGAGATTGTGCTAGGCAAATTAATCAAAAGGAGAACAACAAATACCAGGTGGTGTCACTTAGTGTGGAATATAGAGAACCCAGAAAAAAGGTTCAAATAAAGCCAAATTCAAAAGCTAGCCCCGGAAAGCAGTCTATAGAACTGCGGCATTCAGAGGAGGTAGAAAAGGGAAGTTGGAGGGGTGAGCACAAAGTGAGAAAGGAGCACAGAGGACTATGGGGGTGAACAATGAGTGCTTTGGTGGTGGGAGTGCTATGGTGATGGCACACATCATGTACTTCCAGGATACAAGCAACACTGGAAACCAACATTACCTCAAAAATAATAATAATCCACACTTTAAACCTCAACAGCAGGATGTTGAGAAGCCACACTCAGAACTCACTGAAGCCAAACTGGATGAGAAAGAATATTACTTAGACTCATGGGATAGTAGATACCTGAACTCTGGCTGTAATGAACAGCTAGAAGTGGTGTGGATTGTCTTCCAGTGGGAATGGGGGCCTTTGAATTTATGGTTGGAAGTAAGATGGATGATGGATGGTGATGTTAATGGGTCATTTTGAAAATATGTAAGAGGGTGAGCTGGGCACAGAGCAGAATGCTTGCTGAGAACACTATACAGTGCATAAAGGGTGCACCCCAGGAAACAGTTCGTTTAGGTGCTGGTAACCAAGCCAGTATGGCATGATATGCTTTCTTTGGTCAGAGTGTACTGTTTAGAAATCGCCCTTTGGAAGACCATCCACTCTTCCATTCTCATAGTAATGGCGGGAAAAGTCACATTGTGAACTCAAAACCCCTCCATTGGCCATAAATGTCATGATATAGAGAAAATCCCTCCATGAAAATTTAGAATAGAAAAAAGAGAAGTGCCAGAAAGATATCAATATCTTCCAGAAATTGAAGATATATCAAACACTATATGCATGTGCATATTGATCTTCTGATAAATTTCCCTTTCCTTGAATTTCAAATGGGTTTCAGTTTCAAGTAACCAGGAGTCCTAGGTAGTTCCATTCAAGTTTAAGTCATCTTCTGCTTAAAATCTAGTTGTTCAGCTGTTCCACATTGGGAGACTTGGTTCCACCGAAAATCACACCATTACTGCATCACACCTTTACTGTCTCTACCCACCCACTTCACTCTGTTCCAGTGACAGAATTTGAAGTGTTTCTGTGGGAAATCTATATGAGCAAGCTGTTTTAAGATTACAGTAAAGAAGATCGAGATCTGAACTAAGAGTAGAGTCTAAAGATTTGTCAAACTTCCAGAAAAACAAACGACTAAGTGATATTTATGGCTGCTAGTATAAACCAACCTGATGCAATGTGATATACAGCTTGAAATTCCAAAGAAAAAGAGTGACTTGTCTAAGGCCATATTAAGATCTTTCACAAGATTCATTTTCATCGTTGATTTAACTTTGTTTTAATCATGTTTGGATTAGCCAAACCTGAAGCACAATGTTGTCTTTATAAAAAACAACTACTAGAATACTGAGAATTAATCAGGGGAATGGAGACAACAAAAATTCACAATTTCTTTTTTTCATAACACTTAATTTAGTAAAAATAGCTAAATTACTAGACTAGATAAGGCTATTACTAAATCTCCAATCCAGTGGTCCTAATTGTTACAAATCTCCTTCCAGGTACAACAAGTTCAACAATACCATGTCGCTAGGGGAAAGCAAAGTGTTCACATATGACATATCATATTTAGGTCTTAAAGTAAAATAGTGTAATTACATAGATTTGACAATATCCTTCAGTCTAAAACTAAAATAAACAGGGGTGCTATGAAAAATGTTATAAATTCTAACTTTCTTTACCATAGGAAAACACTACTAAAATAGTGATACTTGTAGTCATAGTAACAGAAAAGGTAGCAATCTAGCCCAAAACATCTAGAATCACAGTTTTAACTATGGTCTGTATAGGAAGTCTGATTTTAATATTCACCACTGGTGGTCCATCAAATTTGTAATTTCCTATTACTTTCCCTTTATTCTACTCTGGTTGAATAAATACCACCCTCAACCACCAGAAGTGAATGATCATTGATTAAATCACTGCACTGAGAGCAGACTTAACAACACAGGCACGAAAGCTTTTTACATGTAAACATTCAGGGATGGAAGGTATTGAGCACGCAGCCTACCTAATATCTGAGAGATCACACTTGTTCCCAGCAATGGCCATCACAATGTTTTCTGGACCATGTTCTTTCAGCTCTTTCACCCATTTCTTCAAGGTATGAAATGAATCCTAAACCAAAAGTATAAATGAATCATTGGAAAGACTCACTAACATAACATTTCAACCAAGCAGAAATGCAAACCCAACATAACATGTTTTAAAAATATTTATTTATGGCCCTCCCTGGTGGCGCAGCGGGTTAAAGCACAGCACTGAGAATCTAAAGCCGCTTCCCCATGAGTTCAATTCCCGCCTGTCCCTAGCGCGGCAGACCTCTCCTGACCCCCCCGCTGCTCCCCTCAGCAGTGTACTTCGTCGATCTGCCTGTTCTGTTCTCCACTCTGTCTCTGGTGAAGCCTCTCACCACCCCTGTGCCTCTGGCCTGTACCCTGGCTCTGTATGCACAAATAAATAAATCTTTAAAAAAATTCTTAAAATTTATATATATTTTTTTTACATCATTGTTCATTTCTGTACAATGCTTGTACAAACTCTCCTCTCAGGTGTAATCCCTGTAAATTCCCACCACCAAGTCACCTATGAACCATCACCATAGTCTCTTGGCTCTTCCCACCCCTGTTTTAATCCTTCTCCCTACTCCCCACCCACGTACTCCACCCCCCCAATACCTCCAATTTATAGCTGCCTGCTAGTTTTGCCTTTTTCCTTCTCCTGTTCCCTTATTTCAAACACAACACAACTTAATGGAGAAAAATATTTTTAGGAGATTCATGTAGGTTAAACATACTACCCCATATTTTGGCACAAAATATGTTGCTAGTTAAGTTAAACTTAAATTACCTATATTGAGTAGAAGTTAACAAATCATATTGTAACTTTATTCTATAAATAATATTAATTTAAAACTATAGCCTTGACTGTATAATATCCATACTTACTTCACAAAAGAAAAAGAAATCCGTACACACTTTAGAGTCCTCTTTTCCTTTCTGCCCCTCATTTACAACTGGACTCCAGGAAATCAGCCATGGTGAACACCACAATTCAGTGGCCAGGAGCTTGTGAATGGCCACAACAATGGCTTACTAAACTAACAGGTCTGTGAGTCAGTCCCAGGGCTGGGGCAAATATCAGCACAGCACAGCCGTTACTTGTCGATGGACAGATTAGACCCCAATGTGGTCATTACAATTCTGCTTATATGAAATATACACAAACACACTATGCATACATAAATATTAACTTTGGCATTTTAAGTCAGATGATTGAAACATGAATAGAAAATATGTATGCTGTTGTTATAAAATATACAGAACTTAAAATAACTTTCTTTTTCCTAAAAAGCTGCCATTGCAGCAAACAGTACTAGCCAGCATGACCTTGTCTCTACAGACTGTCAATTTGCAAAATGAATGTTTATTGTTGTTTAATTTATTAGGTAAACCTGAAATGTTTTGTTACATATACAGGAAATATAATCAATATATAGCTTTCGGTATCCCTGGCCACTCCATGAATTCTGATTTCTGGCTCATCACGTCTCAAGCATATGGCCTCTATTTTGGTCTTTAATCAACATAAATAGCACCAAATTCTAAAGGGGACATTCTTACCTGCTTGGTGATGTCATACACAATGACAGCTGCGGCAGAACCACGATAGTACATGGGAGCCAGCGAGTGGAACTGTTTGGGAAGAATGAATAGTTTTAGGCCAAAGGAAACAGATCATGCAATTCAAGTTAAATTCAAAAGTATTTTCCTGCATCTTCTCTGTAGGATCCCTGAATCCTCCCCTCCCTAGATTTTTCCTGGGTTCATGTGAGAGAATAAATTTGCCTCCTCCACTACACTCACTTTTGTGATTTACGGACCATGAAATTCACACTTGGGCAAAGGCCAAAACTAAATTTTATTTTAAGTGTTGCTATCCTATGAGTTTCCTTTGCTCTACTGCTCATTACTTAGCTGAAATGATTGACCCAGGGCAAGCTCATTAGACTTCTATAGCAGTTAAGACAGAGATGTTTGCCAAGAGCAGAAAAAGACAGGATGTGCCACAGATCACAAGAGCCTTGCTGGGCCATTAATGAGGAACACTGCAGCAAGGGCACCTTTGAGCCTGCCGGGTCTAGATGGCGGCATCCTCGAGTGCACACAAACTGTGAGACAGGTGAGCTTCACTCCGAAATGTCACCTAAGCGCATATCGTTAGTCATGAGAATCAATTATCCCCAAGCAGGGTAACTGTTCCAAGGAGACTGACAAATTTTGTGTATATTTTGAAGAATTTATCTTTGCATATCTCTGACTGTATTGGAAAATTGTATTGTTCATGGGTTTTGAAAGTCGATAAGAAAAAGAAAAATGGACAAAGAAAAGCCACAGAGGAAAAGATAAAGCTTGCCAGTAACATTTTAATGTTAATATTTTAGGGTTTATTTATAATAAAAGAAATGAAAATTCCCAGTTCTGGGAATTTAGCAAAAGAAAATGAAATTAGTAATCTGAAGTGATATCTATGCTCTCATATTCATTGCAATATTGTTCACAAGAACAAGGCAAAGTAAACAAACCAAAATGAGTCCATCAACAAATGAATGGCTAAAGAAAATGTGATACATAGATCATATTAATATAGACATGATTATATGAAATTTTACAAGATAAAATTGTAATATTGTCATTATACTTGTTTATAATGGAATATTATAGAGTCTTTATAAAAAAGAGATCCTGCCGTTTGTGACATGTATAGACCTGAAGAACATTAGCTGTGAAATAAACCAGAAACAGAAAAGAAAAAACCTTATGCTCTCACTTACATATGAAAACTAAAAAACCTGAACAAGCCTGATGTCATGGCATCCATGAAAAAATTGGCTAAGGGACCCCCCGAAAAGAAGCAGGTTCTGAAGTTGCCCCTTGATTGCACCCACACTATAGGGAAGCTGCTAGTTATAAGCAACTTCTTCAGTAGAGAATTAATGTGAAGGGAAAAATGGAGAATCTCAGTGCAGTCATTATAAATAACTGAACATAACATGAGCCAGACCAAGATCACTGTTACTTCTGAGGTACCTTTTTTCTAAAAGCCATTTGAAATATATCACCCAAAAAATATTTAAAGAAGAATAATCTGTCATGGCCTCCCTGGTGGGTCAGGGGTTAAAGTGCAGCTTTAGGAAGCTATCAGTAGCCACTGCAGCATGAGTTTGATCCAGGACCAGCGAGCTGACCCACATGGCCAGCAGACCTCTTCTGCCTCACCCGCTGTATTTCAGTCAATCTGCCTGTTTTGCTCCCCATGGTCTCTGGAGAATCCTCTCACCCCCTACATCTGTGGCCTGTACCCCAGTTCTTGTATGCATAAATATATAAATAAATCTTTTTAAAAAAGAAGAACAGGGCCCTCCCTGGTGGTGCAGCGGGTTAAAGCGCTGCACTCAGAATCTAAAGCCACTTCCGCATGAGTTCGATTCCCGCCTGCCCCAGAGGAGTCCACATGGCGAGGCAGACCTCTCCTGACCCGCCCGCTGCTCCCCTCAGCAGTGTACTTCATAGATCTGCCTGTTCTGCTCCCCATTCTGTCTCTGGTGAAGCCTCTCACCGCCCCTGAGCCTCTGGTCTGTACCCCAGTTCTGTATGCACAAATAAATAAATCTTTAAAAAAAAAAAAAGAAGAAGAACAACCTGCATGGCTGAATGCAGTTGTTAACAAAGCATGTTTGGAAAAGTGTTATTTCCATAGCCAGGACAAATAGGATGAGGTGAATTAAAGTTTATCTGGAATATATTTTCTGAGATCCTGAATAAAACTTATTCAAAAATAAAACACCAAAAATAAAGTTCAATGCATGAAGGCAGGAAATAGAACCAGTGGCCAAGGGAGGGGGAAATGGAAAGATGTTGGTCAAACCTAATGCAGGTAGGTGGAATGACTAAGTTGTAAGATCTAAGGTCTTAGATCTAAGTTCTGAGATCATAGTCATCATAACTACGGTTAATAACACTGTTCTGATCTGATAATTTGCTGAGAAAGTAGATTTCATTTCTCTCAGCGCACACGTGCACACACACACAGAGGTAATTATGGGAGCAGATGATATGATAATTAATGATAATCATTTCACAATACACACATACATCAAATCATCATGTTGTACAACTTATATATAAACAATTTTTTTTCCTTTCCCTCAATGTTAAACAATTTCTACTTTTAAAAAGTCCTTCTTTCAGGCCCTCCCTGGTGGCACAGCGGGTTAAAGCGCAGCACTAAGAATGGAAAGCCCCTTCTACATGAGTTCAATCCTGCCTGCCCCCGAGGTGATCCCACATGGCGAGGCAGACCTCTCCTGATCCGTCCGC